GGTCACAGCATTTTACTTTGAGAAATACCAAACTATTGCATTAAAGGCCCTGCACTTGATTTTTTCCCCATGTGTTTGAGCTAAATTGATCTTTCCCCTGTACAGATATAGGCTGTTGTGTAAGCAGCTCTTGAGGTCAAAATAATTTCAGTTTAATTATAGATTGGTTCATTGTCTGATAACCAGGAACCGCATGGTTAGCATGCTAATTGTTAGCAAGCATTACAGTGAAGGCAAAATCTGCCCTGGTCTCTGAAAGTTGTGAAAAGTACTTGTAAACTCGTCACAGTGAATAATTAGGATGCTCAGAATGCATTAGGTGAGTGAGGAAAAACTGCACTGCAAAGTGTTTAAAATGTACGACGATGTAGTATGAGGGTCACTTTGGGGCTATGAGAATAAAGTCATAACATTTTAATATTAAAGCCGTAATTTTATGAGAATAAAGTCTATGCCAAAAAAAAAGTTGCTATTTAATGAAAATAAAGTTGTGATTTACATGAAGTTATGCTCAAAGTAAAGGCGTAGTTTTATCAAGATTTAGTTGGTTGACATCAATGTCAAACCTACAATGGATGTAGAAGTTTTTATTGCTGGTCTTTTAAACATTAGCATCTCTTGAATCATTTCCCGGAGAGTGACCCCCTTTCGCCTCTTTGCAGAGCTGAGCACTCCTGGGGAGGGCACCAACTTTCAGCAAACTTTTTACACTTCAGGCCGTGGCAGCTCATGTTTACTCAGTTTACCTGGATCATTTAGTTTACTTCATCCAACAGTTTGTGATTGATGGCTAAGTGCATAGAGGTGGCAGCTAACCTGCAGTGGCGATTTGTGTAATAACTTATATTAAACACACATATGGAGCGTGTAAAATGTCAGCGCTTCAAAGTTTGACCCCTTTATGGGCATTTATGTAAGCTTTTCACTCGTCAACCTCTAAATAATTAAATGTCAACTTTATTTTTTATTCTCATAGCGAACGCATGAGAATTTTTCAATGTGACCCTCAGCTCCTTTAAAGCTTCCTCTTCTGTTGTCTGCTTCAACCAAAATTCATGAAGTTACATTTATGCCAGTGAGCAAAGCCAACAAAGTTTTCTGAGCTCCTCTTGTTAGAATAACTGCATGGAGATTCACAGCATCCTTGACAAAAGTCAAGGATGTTCAGTTGTCAGCAAGCAAAAAACTCAACAAAATGCATTAATATTCAGTATAAGATTGGTGCAAAGAATAACAACTTATCGCACTGAAGGTAGTAATTTACTTGTCAGTTTTAACTCCACGCAGTAGAAAATATACATTGCTTTGTACAACTTGCTCCTGTTTTAAAACTTGTAATTACAGTTATTTGGTTGAACAATAACTGCCTTATATTTATGTTGATTTGACAACCAGTCTCAATCAGAGAATCTCATCAAAACATTAACACACCAATGCCACAAAATTGAGAATAAAATGTGTCTTGTTCAAGGGTTCAATGGGAAAACACAGTCAAGGAATAAGTGATTAAATCAGTTTCCACTTTTTTATGTAGATTTGATGGCAGGATTCATAAAAAGTATTACTGTCAGTTACTATACAAATTTAAGAAATAATGGTAGAAGTTCATTTTCAGTCATATTGTTATTTCAGAAGGTAAATCTCACATTCAACCACGAAAATAAAAAGTGTAACCCACATGTATTAAGATGACTGGCATGAGCACTGGGCAGTAACAATCTATCACAAGGCAACTTTTTAATACCATCAATGCAAAGTGGAATTAGTAACAACAATGCTCACATCATTTAGTATAATGCTTTTTCTCCACAGCACTGTAATAGGGTATGCCATGGGGAATCCAAGCGTGATACATCATACAGCTGGCATTTGGTCTAGCATTAAAATTAATTATTTGAAAAGTTGCATCTAATCAACAATGTAATACAGAATCATAAATCGGATAAACCCTTTGGTATATGGATAGTCTCCACGGTGAAGCGAGGATGCTAATGACTAATACTGTTGCTACACAGTAAACAAGAAAGAAATATTTCACATTCCTGTCCTGAAAGGAGTAGGTCTACTCACAAAACAAATAAGCTCATTACAACAAACATCTAAAGATAGTGTGTCCTCTCTCTGGCTATTTTCTAAGCAATTACTCACAAAACCAAACCATAGCACAAAGGCATACAGGACTAAACAAACTGATCCTGTAAATATACATGGAAACAGTGCAAAGTAAAAAAAAAAAAAAAAAAAAAAGATTAGATCATCCTTCAAAGTATATATCAATATAATGTGAGAATGGTGCAAGCTTGTGTCCTTCCCTCACTGACTAAACTTAATCAAGTAACAACCCTGGGTCAAGTGTGCCCTAGGCTTAAAAATAATAGTACATACTCTCACTGCTTTACAAATGACAATACAATCTCAAATGAACATGCAGAATAGGTTTATTAAAAGCTATAGCAAAACCAAAAAAAACTCCCTCTAATTAGATAATTTAATAGCTACTAGCTTAAAAAGGCTACATTATAATTGTAAATGGGTAAACCAAAATTTGATTAAAATGTGTTTACTTCATATGTGAGAATGTAGACAGGAAATGTGTATGAAAGGAAAAAATTATCTTATACCAATAACAAAGTAACCTGACATATTGAATGCACACATAAATGTTCACATTTCAATGCAGCTTACTTAAAGAACACATATTGTGACTGAGCCTGCAATATAGTTATAATCTACAACACTTGTGGATCATTAAGTTATAATTTGCACATTTTAAATATTAAAGGGACAGTTTGAAATTTTGGACATAGGGCCTCATTTCCTAGTGAGCCAGAGTGTTGGAGACTTGTGTAGACACTTTTCTAAAAATTCCATCTAGTCCTTGTATTTGGAGAGGTCGGTGGTGCTAGGCTAGTGCATGTCCATGGGCATAGTTAGTTAGTCTTAACCACACCACAAAGCACCCAAGGCAAATCTATTATTACGCCAGACGATCGATGTAAATGTCTGTGTTGACAAAATAATGTTTGAAATAAAACTAACTTTGCATAGCATGAATTGTTGCATGTTGAGAGACTATTTTCTCATATATCAGTCCTCTGCTGCCAAGCTTTCTATCAGGAAGTACAACTCACTGCTGCTGCTCAGACATAAATCCTTCAAATGCAAGGTTGGTTTTACTTCTAAAATTATTCTATCAACACAGACATTCACATCGATAGTCTGGCATTATAATTGTTTTGCCTCGGGTGCTTTGTGGAGTGGGTAAGACTGTTTGTAGTGTCAGGATAACTATGCCCATTGACATGCACTAGCCTAGCACCAGCGACCTCTGCAAATACAAGGACTGGCTGGAATATTTAAAAAAATGTTTCCAACACTCTGGCTCACTAGGAAATGAGACCCTATGTCCAAAATTCCAAAGTGTCAATTTCATTAAAAAAAAACACAAGTCATCACAACAAAGAAGTAGGAACAGAGTATACCAGTAGTGGTGAAAACAGGGTTTGATGGGCAAAATGACGTCTTGAAAATGAGTGATTAAAGATAGCTCAAACATGCATGAATCACTCCAAATACAAATTTGAGATGGTAAATGTGAAGGGGAAACAACTATAACATAGTTAAAAGCTCTCTACATAATAGGTCTCCTTGAATGTGGCTATACTAGTACACTGTTGTAGTAGCTACAGTGTGAGTGCTTTTATACATGGCTGCTGACAGTGATATGACTCTGATTTATCAAAGCACAGTACTATGTAAACTGAAATAAACGGTTTGCCAAGAGACACAGAGCACAATGAACAAGGCTGTTTTCCCCCCTAATGAGCTGAGAGGAGTGACACATTAAACTGTGCACATGCTCGCCCAACACTGCAACTATTTTTACCTGCCTCAAATGTCACTATGTAGTACCAGCACAGTATCACCATTTTGACTTCAAACAGCTACAACCTGGAGTCTGCTCAAACTCTGTTACAATAGGAAATGCAATCTAATAGCTGTGAAAAAAGAAGGGAAAAAAAGAGATGTGTAAATTTAGATTTCATACCTGTGTGCCTGAGAAAGCATTTGTGAATTGTAAAAAGTGTTGTGATGCTTTGTAACGGCAAAAAGCAATTACTTTATACTTTATGAGTCAGACACAAAAAATAAATTGAAGTGCCTGCCTATGTGAAAAGTGCTGAAAAGTGGTGAATCTGTATTGATAGAAAGGAAATAAGAGATGTGGGCTCATTTGAGGAAATACATAAAAGGTATTTGTAAAGTAAAGTGTAAAGTGACAAAGCAGAAGGAGAAAAATCATAGTATGGCGTCAAACCTGTAAAGAGTTTTATCAAACTCTTCAAATAGTTGCAAAAAAAAGAAACTATATTTGTGAATGATGAAAACAACACACAGAGTAAAAAATATTCAGAGATATGATAAGCACTGAAATGGTAATTAAGTTTGGACCATCAAATTAGAAATGCATGGTCCACACGCATCAAGTACTTTTTAACTCAACTGCTACAACTAACTAAGAGATAATCAATAAATCAATGTATAACAAAAATGCGGCACACTTCCTGTATTACAACGTGACATCACAAGGTGGCACAGAGTGTTTTCTGCTTGAGAGAAGAATTAAGCAGGATTTGTGTGTTAAACATGTTTGAATGAAACAAAACACAACTCCCGGTATAATTTGATGAGGAAAAACATTATAACATAGATATGAAAACAGTGTAATATAGGCCCTTTAAATATCTCAGGTATCCCACTTGTTGCAGATAGGTTATGTTATATTTATACTATAAACTATTTATAGAGGTATAGGACTAAAATATATTCTGTATTATCTGCTGCTCTTTCCTGCCCTTGTTTTTATAGAAAAAACCCTCTGAAATATAATATTTTTAGCTTAAGTTATGACAACAGGAGGCTACACTGGATCACATTGTTCAATAGCAAGTGGAACTGTGGGGGGCTGTGGTGTGACAAAGTGCAAGTCATTCACTCACCCATCACTTTAACGAAATAGGCGTCTGCTTCAAAATTGTTCTTCAAAGCGTGGATGATCAAGTCTTTGCCCTCGCCTCGACTCAGAACCAGCATGTCTAATATTCCCTGCAAATGAAGACAGGCACAATGATAAGGGCCAGTCAATGGAATATAGCTAGGCCTGGGTTAGCAACCGAAACGTATGCGCTGAAAACACTGGGATGTCACACATGTTCTGAGAAATAATTAATTCGGCAGATTAGAATAGGCTTTTGTCCTATATTTAGATGCACATGCTGAGCACAAGTGGGAGTTGGAATGTGAGCGGTGCCGATGATATAATGACATGGCTTGTGTAGCGTTGGTAGCCTAATTAGTATGTATATCCATTCAACATGCAGTGATGGGGAAGTTAAGACACATGCACCAGTTTTTAGCTTGAAACCGGATTACAAAGCAATGTAATCACATTTCCTGTTCTGAGTGTAAATCTGGAATATTAAACATATAAACGACACAAACTTAAAAGTGCACTATGCAACATTTCTGGTGGTCTCCATGGACATACTAGTATTGACGTTTTGCCAAGAATGTTCATAGTATGGCATTAAACTTACCTTTTACCATGAGGACAACCACTAGGCCAAGTTACAGGCCGGATATGTGGAGAAGCGACCCCATTCATAATAAGAATGCATGTTTTTAAATTTATTTATTTATTTATTTATTTTCAGCAATAAGACACATCTCCAGGCTTAACTATTTCCGTGTTGACAAGCAGATGGGAAAAGTTATATAATGCCCGTTTAAGCCATTATTGACGTCAGTGTTAAAAATGCTGAGGTGTAATCCTATTTTTTGCATAGGGCAACTCAAATATTTTTAAAGCTTTATTTTTGTTCCATTTTGCAGGAGGTACTTAAATTGCAGATAAATTGCTGCTATTTTTGCTTGTCTTCCACCAATGAGGAGCATGATTTAAAAAGACAAGCGAAGATAATAGCTGATGAGGCAGGAAGCAGACAGGAGCGAGGTGAGGTGAAAAGGTGAAAATGACTACAGAAGCCATGGTGTCACTCACGTCTTCATAGATGTCAAAAAATGTTGCCATGACAGCGTTTTGGATGGCCCCTAAATCTGATTGGTCCCAGTGGATGCTGAACATTCTTCCCACACTGCGGCAACTGGCGTTATTACAGGGCACATTCTCCAAAAGGAAGGCCTGCTGACCACTGAAACAGACAAAAAAGGAGAACAAAACCTGTTAGCTCAAAAACTCTGTAATGAAAAGCATGTTGATTGATATAAAGCAGTTTTTCCAATACATTTTGTATCTATAAAAACAACTTTAGCTAATCAAAATACTACACATGGAAGTATATTGATATTAAAGAGGGGGGAATTTACTTCCGTGTTACTTAACTGCTAACACCTAACATTTTCATCTCCATGTTATCTTTTATTCTTTTTGAAAATACTATATTCCCCAAAAAGCAATGTATTAACATCTTTCACTTTAGTTTTTGATGCTTTGGTCTCCCCAGTCACCCACCATTCAGAGCGTAAACACAACATATTCAGCGTGCATCCTGCTAAAGAAACTATTGTGTAACCCGCATTTGAGAGACTTTTAATGTTACGGGTCAATTCCGCTTCACCCCGATCTCCCCCCACTTCCTTTAAGTTGCGGGGTCACTGTGTCACTTCCACCTCCTCCGCTCCACTGTGGCTGTGGCGTGGTCTGGGCGTCGGCAAACAATTTCAATAAACTTTTAAACCACGAATCCTATAACATCCACAATTAGGTGAGTGTTTTGCCACATCATTAGAACACTGCCACTTTAATAATTACTTTCAACAATTTCTTAACTACTACTTAATTCTGTAAAAATCGCTAATGCCACGTCTCCGATTCTCATAGAGCCTCCATATAGATTGTACAAACTGGGCCGTGTATGGAGAGGAGATCACAACGTGAAATTCAAAGGTACCTGATTTTCCTTTTGTATTAATAAGAAAGCCGAAATTAAGGTAAAAGATTGGTTAATGTCGCTAACTTTGTTTTTCGCAACTTTGATTATTTTGTGCAGTTTTAGCACGTTTTTCCATATTTGCTAAACCTCCGGTGGAGTTCGTCTATTGAATTAAGCCTAGCTACGCAAGTTACTTGGAAACATTGATATTGCGCAATATTTGAGTTTATCAGCCTCTGCTTGGGCATTGTTTGATAACTTTTTGATTTAAGTGCACTTAATTATGATCAATTTACTTAATTATGATCAACTTACTGAATTTATTTTACTTATTGACTTAATAATGATTAACTTAATAATGATTTACTTACTTAATTGTGATAAACTTACTGAATTTACTTTACTTATTGAATTTCCTTGATTTATTAACTAACTTAATTAATAATTTAATTTAATGTAATTTCATGATTTAAATGATAAACTTAATTATTTATTGAATTGAATATTAATTGGAATTAATTACTTGTTGAAACCATTAATCCTTATGGACTTTTTGGGTCATTAGTCAATGACTACATTTAATTTATTTATTAATTGTTATTGTGTATTCTGATAACAGAATTAATTAATTGATATTTTGAATGTATTGATTCACTTATGCTTGTATGTTTATGCATACATTTAATTTATTTTTGGTTAGTGAAGACCTATTAATGTATTATTGAAATGATATTCATTTGTTTTTCTGGCCTTTTTAGATCAGGTTTTTTCAATGGACTGATTGAACTCCAGCTTCGCAGAAACTCTCAACTCAACTAGGAACTGAATGACGGCGAGCTTACCCAAAAACCTGAACTTAGATTATCCTGAATCAAAATACTAGATAACTGGACTGTTTTTTATTTTTTTGTTTTGTTATTCCTGTGCTCTGTAAAACTTTATTTTCAATATACTTCACCCAACTTCATATTCATGTCTTATGTCTCTTCATTCATACTCGGGCTCCTCAAAGAACATTCTTCTGATGCTGCTTTTGTGGCCGTAGTCTGCCCCTAGCCTTAACGCATTTGCGTTACAATTGCACATCAAGTTTGTCATGTTGTTGTGTACAGTTTTGTATCATGATTTTGTATATTTATGTAGAATTGTTGTGTGAGAACAGTGATGACATAGGTTTGTGGGCAGAGCATTGCACAGTAGAAGGGTTTGAATAAGGCCCTGGAGAGATCGTTAAATAACTGAAACATGCATGGATGACATCTAAAATCTCTTTAGGCATGTTTTTGATGATGGAACAATGTTATGTTAACAGAAATAAAAAAAAAAAACTTTTGCATAATACCTCATCTTTAAATACAGTATAATCACAAACAACACCACGCACATGAAAAGTAAACAAAGAGCATATGATATAAAATATAGCAAAATATACTACTATGCCAGGCCAGGAAGAAAAGAAGGGTTTTCAACTGTGTAAGACTGAAGCAATTCACAAACCATGCAAAAAACAGAATAACATTTTTCTAATTTTGAGGCTGACAAAAATATTCTTGAATTCTTGGTGAAGGCACTATTGTGGAAGACAGTAGAGAGCACAGTTGATAATTACTTTTTTGAAACATTTTTGGACAAAACCAAGACCAGGAAGAAAAATAAATAAAAAAAAAAAAAATCACAAAAAAATTGTATTTCCAGTCACAAATTGGACCCTGGATTCCTTGTATTGTTTAGGGCAACCACAAAGCAGTGTCCATTATCATCAGCAGTACATAGTGGCTCAAACAGAAATACTTCTTAACCTTATTTTAAACTGAACATTCAACTGTGCATTATATTCAGTATTTGACAGTCAAAACGATTGACACTGTGATTGCACTTGTGTATGACTCCTCTTGGCTGTGTCAGACAAGCAGCAATTCGCCTTTATGAGAGTGGAGATGGATCCGTAACAACTCCGGGACTCAATCCAGTTTTTTCCCCGCCACCTCCCTCAGTGCAACATTTTGTCTCTGCCCGGTCTTGCTTGCTATCGCGCTTTGATTTTTCTGGGGAGATTGGATCTAACTCTTTCTTTGTCTCCGTCTTTCCACTTTCTGTACCTGTTCTCACATCTCAGCGGGAGCGATCTAAAAATAGAAAAAATCGTCAAAGGCGGCTCTTGGTTTCAGAGATGAAGTGTGTGTATTATTTCTCGAAGCAGGTGTCTTGAAAGAAGCTGAGTGCAAGCTATGAGACTGATGGGTCATCGAACGTCAAGGAAAGATCGCAGATTTAAAATGGACTGAAATTAATATTCAGTATAGCTATACAATGTCATGCACCTACCTTGCATAAAATGAAAGCAGAAGGCAGCAATAGCTAAAAACAATTAACAGTAAAGTAATATTTTTTTCCTATCTTTTGTGACCATATGCCTGAGTCAGTTTCCAGGGACAGCAGATGTTAAGGAAATTCTGGTACGAAAATGTTTATGAATATACAAAACCTCCACTAAAGGTCCTTTATTACACAAAATGGACTCTTGTAAGCTTTAAGTCATTTTATAATATTGTTACCTCATTGAAACCTGTTCGACCTAGTGAAGTCATTAAGAGGTTTCCAGGCAGCTACCTTTTACCATTTGTTCAGTAGATATTGGCAATCCCAGATCTAAAATCATCCCAATGATTCTAGTGAAGGTATATGAAGTCAAAAATCCTAGTGGATCACTTCATGTATTACTACATGACAATACAAGAGTGTGATTCTGTTGGAGAGAAGAACTATGCAGGGTTTGTGTGTTAAACATTTTGTGTGTGAAACAAAACAACTCCAGGTATGCTTGTGATGAGGAATCAGTATTATGACACACATCAGAAAATAGCGTAATACAGACCCTTTAACTAAACTAATACTAGCATTAGGCAAAAAAATACTACTACTACTACTACTACTACTACTACTACTACTACTACTACTACTACTACTACTACTACTACTACTACTACTACTACTACTACTAATAATAATAATAATAATAATAATAATAATAATAATAATAATAATAATAATAATGTGAAACAATGTATAAACAAAGTCTTGAAGCAGTGGCTCAAGCCAGACATAACCCAGACCTCTTAGAGTGTGCTTGGGATTAACATGGAGCTTACACGTATTTGTGGAGCATTTACATCAACAGAAGATCAGAGCTTATCCAAATGTGTCACTGAGCTAAACACCACAACATTAAAGGCATTTTCTGATAACTTTATTTTATTTGAGCACTCAGTTTTGTATATTTAGTCAATAGCTTAATACAGTGGTTTTTGAAATGAGTTCCACAACAAAACTGGGGCTAAAAGTTCTTGAAGCATGAACTGAATACTAAACAGTACACCAAAACAAAGACACATGACACATCTAAAATATCCCACTTTTTAATTAAAGTAGTGTAATACTTTGTGCTGTGGCTTGCCTGCATTAGATGAACAATGAAAAATGTTGTTTGGTGAGTCAGGGCATAACAAATTCCATTTGATTTTATCTGCAGGCAGCAAAATTAACAAGCGTAAAATGATCACCCTAAATTAATAATCAAAGCTGGAATACATTTAGTATAATCAGGTGATGATGATTTATCAGCAGCACCCAACTGTGTCAGACAAATACACTTTTTTATGGTAGCATTTCCAAAAGTTGTTTTCATATATATCAGATGGCACTTTGCATGATAAACAGTGAGTAACTTCAAGCATGAGTTGTGTTATTGAAGAGTCAAATGCTAATTTTGAAGGCGAGACCTGAAATCAGCTGCCAAGATGACAAGCATCTGGGTTTTAAAGAGGGCTAAATACAGGAAAAAGATGAGCTGTAATTAATTCCTAAAGAGGACACATGACGCTCCAGGCAAACAGTCTCAAACAGTGTGTATTGCGACGGCAATGTTGCTTACACATTCAGTGGTGTTAGTATGTGCGTGGGAGGGGCAGGTCAGCGCTGGGGGCTCCTACTGGATTAACTGTCTTTGGCTGTGGTTATATGTATACTGGCCATAGGTTTGGTTAAAGGTCATGCTGTGTAATCCATCAATACTCGGGCTCCTTCCTTCTCATTACAGCATAAAGAAACATACACGCCTACAGCATTAAGGAGATACTGTATCATACTTGTACATGGAACAGTTAAGCCAGCTGTGTTAACATGACAGAACTATTGAGTGATACTGTATTATGATCTGATGATTCATATCACACTTTCCATATGTGGATTTAGTAATGTGG